CCCACTAACTACCAGGGAGCCACCACAGAGCTCCCACTAACCACCAGGGTCCAGGGAGCCCCAAGTGGCCACCACAGAGCCTCCACTAACCACCAGGGTCCAGGAAGCCCCCACTAACAACCAGGGAGCCCCCACTGGCCACCACAAGCCCCCACTAACCCAAAGACCCTCCACTAACCACCGGTGTCCAGGAAGCCCCCACTAACCACCAGGCCCCAACATAGAGCCCCCACTAACTACCAAGGTTCAGGGAGTCCCCAACAGTCACCGCTTTCATGGACTTCCTAGGAGAGCGAGGAAGAGCGGGGGAAGGGTTAAGTTGCTGCACCATGGGCCTCTGGGTTGTACTTGCCCCCTGGGCTAAAAGTTGCCAGTCAGCCCCTTCTGTATTCCACAACTGCCGGACGCCGAGAGCTGATTAAATTGTGGATGGCATCGGCGCCCGGCCGTTGCGATATGCAAGATTGTGGGCGGCGTTGGACTACATGTCGCAACCGCGGGCTGCCGATGCCATCCACAATTAAATCAGCTCATCGGTGCCCAGCGGTTGCAGCATGCAATTAAAATTATTAGTGCCCCCCCCAGATTTGACTGTTATATCTTATGTGCCCCCCCTACATATTGTTCCTAGAGTCGCCACTGGCAGCCACATACAGCTCTAAGAAACTGCATGTACATCAGGTTACTGTAGGCTGTTCTAACCACAGCCTCTCCCTGGGGGTTTTCTTACTTTATGTTGCGTTGCTTGTACTGTATGATTTCTGTGCTTACATGAGCCTCATTATACCGGAAGTATCACTGCTGCTTATAATTAGCTTGAGGTCTGCTCATTACATTTACTAGGCATAAGCTGCCAATCTATGTGTACTGCTGGGAGTTCTTATGTTTGGAGAAACTGAATCTTTTATCTCACCTATAGTGTCAATACTGCTATAATTACAGCTATACGTCTCCATGCTACCCTGAACTTGACTACTTACACTGATTTACTGTTGCTGCTTGGATACAACCACCTGGCTAAACTTAACCTCTATATACGTTGTGTGTTCCTGTATACTCAGACAAACAACCAATAGTACAAAACACAAAAATTCCCCAGCCTCAACCTGCCAGCCAGCCTGCAACCAAACAAGTAGCCCTGTCAACAGTATGCGTTAAAATCAGAGGTTTAGTTGCACAAACTTTTGGCCAAAAATATGTAGAAGCCACACTGCCGCGCCTAGGCACCTCTGCAAAGTGTGGTCCTAACTCTATGTATCCGAGTCTCCCAAGTGTGAGCATATTAATGACGTTGATAAATTACATGCAGGTGTACGTGGAGGTAGCCAACTCCTCCTAATAAGGTGCAGGGACGCACTGGAGGCCCAGCAACCAAAAATGCACGCTGGGACTCCAGTGCGTCCCCCAAACCAAAAATAGTCAAACTAGAAAAAATGGTACATGCATGAATCTATAACCGGCCATTATAGCAGGGCGCACATTGGGAAGGCTTACAACAATACAAAACACAAAAATTCCCCAGCCTCAACCTGCCAGCCAGCCTACAACCAAACAAGTAGCCCTGTCAACAGTATGCGTTAAAAGCCTTCCCAATGTGCGCCCTGCTATAAAGGCTGGTTATAGATTCATGCATGTACCATTTTTTCTAGTTTAAACAACCAATAGTATATCAGCTATCCATTAGCTTGCTGTAACCTTTCATTCCCCCTGGTAATCGGGGACACCCGGTGGATTTCAGTTGATACAATTGGTCCATTGTATTTCCTTGGTTAAGGCGGTATATGATGCTTATGGGTTCTCACGCTCACTCTTCTCCCATATAGAGTGTAATAGTGGAACCTTTGACTGAACCACCTTCACATCCTTTTACAAGGCCTGAACAGCTTCTGCAGTTGCTATCCACCATCTGAGCTGTTACTCGATTGTGACACACAACAGCTGGAGGGCTGAAGTTTCACTACCCCAGATTTAAAGGCTAAAAGTAGTAAGGGTAACGGTACTTACCCTAAGTGCGCCCCTTGCACAGCTTTTTATGTAATTGGACTTTCTTGTAATGATGTTCCTTTCAGATTTTCCTTAGTAATCATGGGCACACTAAGGGTAAGTGCACTAGAAGTACACTTCTCGTTTAAAACAAATATGTTTTCATATATAAAAAAAATCTACTAGCAACATTCACAAAAATGAAAAAAATAACATTCTGGAGCTTACTGGCAGTTTTTCAGGCTGCTGATAAAGTCAAACTGGTAACAAAAAGCCATGGAATCATTGTTTAGAAAGGTGAATTTCAGCTAGAATGTGTGAATTCAATAACCATTCAATAACACAAAAAAATGTATAAAGCCCTTTAAAATGTCCCCTAGAAGGAGACCTATAATAAGGAAAACATTGAGGTTGCCATTTGCTGAGCTCTCTTTCTAAAAAATATTGTCATGCTGATCTGGAACAAGTATGCAGATAATTTCTGACTGTCCTTAGCTCTCCTGATTTGTATACCTGTTTCAGATCAGTTAGCCCTATTGTTGCCGGGAACTGGCTCACATTTTGTAGCTCAGCTGGCCAAATACTATTTTTTTGTCTTTACGACTCTAAAAACTTTAAAGTTTCTGAATTGCTATTAGAGGCTTTCACTTTGCAAAAAGAATGTGTATACTGTGAATAAGGTGTTGAATATTCAATCATGTGCTAGCAAAAATCCTGTTTTTTTTAAATTTCCTTCCTGCATCATTGGGTTTTCACATAGGTCCACCTTACTTACCAACTTTCACTTTGTGATGTAAACATACTCTTTACTACCTAGAGAACCTCTTCTCATTCAGTAAATAATCTGTGTACTATACTGATTGCAAAGGCTAGTAATTAAAAAGCAACAGGGGGAGAAGCTGGTCCCATTGGCAGATGTGTGTCTGTAGGGGGCACTTAATATTTAGAAAATATAGTAGTAATTGGGCAGCTTTGTAGCTTTATGGTTGCCCAGCTCAGATCTATAGATAGCCGACAGGACACTCTCTGAGATGGATTTTTTTAGCCCTTTCATTGCAGTGATGTATTATAAACATGATTAGCCACCTAAAAGAGGATAACTCCATGATGACAATCAGGGGGTTAAAGCCAGTGGGTGTGTATAACTGTCAGGTAACTAACATTGTCAGGAATTCAGAAATCCTTATTTCTCTTGTGATAGGTTTACTTTAACAAAGACCCTCCGTAATTTCAGAGAAACAACAACCCTCCCTCTGTGAAAACCTTTGCTGCATATAAGGCTGTCAGATAAATGCTGCAAAGTGTTCTTGAAGCACAGGAGAATTCTATTCTGCCCTAATACTATTCTTAACTGTACTGAAGCTTTGTGTACAGATATGACAGAAAGTTTGTGTGCCCCTGGACAAATTACACGTGTTGTTGATTTTCTAAGTGAAAAGAAGTTAACACAACCTCTTCAGGAAACAAGTGTAAACATGACATATTTGTGCACAGTCTAAAGAACATTTATTATAAAATAATATTTTTAAGTTAACCATTTGGGGGGGGAAAAGGACATACATATGGCATGTGCAAAATTATTGTTTTCCTCTTAAGTCAATAATACTACATACTTTAGATTCACACACACACTTGCGTCCACAGCAAATTGTAAAGCAAAACAAATGGCAAACACGCTCATCAACTTATCACCAGCTTTAAAGCAAGGTGCACATGGAAGGGCTTCAAACAAATACAACAGCAAAAAGTTTCCCAGCACACTCGCCAGCCAGCATGCAAAAAAACTTGTCTCAACGCTAAGGTTTAAAACAGAGGTTTTAGATACACGTCTTGTGCAGAATATGTGAAAGCCGCACAGCCTAGGCACCTCTGTGTAGTGCGGTCCTAACTCTAACCTATAAGAGTCTTCATCTTGGAGCACATGCAGCAAAAGATACAATTGGGTGCAGGTTTGCCAGGAGGTAGCCCAACCCCCTTAAAGGCACAAGGACACACAAGTGACCACGCACATCACAACCTAAAACCTCTCCGGATGACAGAAATGATGAATGCAAACGAGTCTGAATTTCTGATACAAAAAATTTCGGACGAAATTAGCGGTACGAATTTCGGTTTTTGGACGAATCTGCGTTGCAGTAAAGTGACATTAGACAAAAGAAAAAAAAAATTTCAGTCAGTAGAAGCAAAGTGACATTAGACAAAATATTTTTTTTTTCAGTCAGCAGCAGAAGAAAAAAAAAACAGTGTGAGATTTATATCAGACCCTTTATGTCTGGTAGAAGTGTTAGGAGGAACCCCCAAGTTAAAAGTTAAAATAATGTGCATGGAATTCCCCCCAAATGTCATACCAGGCCCTTTAGATCTGGTAGGAATTTTAAGGGGGAACCCCACCCCCGAAAAATGGGGAAAAAATGTGGGGTCCCCCCTAAAATTCCTACCAGACCCTTAGTCTGAGCACAGGCCTGGCAGGGCAGGAAAGGGGGAGGGTGAGCGAGCGCCCCCCTCCCTTCCATACCAGGCCACATGACCTTGGCACTGTGAGGGTCTCGATGGGGACAAGGGCCTCTTCCCCACAAGCCTTGGGGCATTGGTTGTGGGGGTCTGCGGGCAGGGGGCTTATTTGCATCGGGGTATCCTTTTATTTAAGGGGGCACCCAGATGCCACCCCCACCTATAAAATGAGTAAGGGGTACTTGTACCCCCTACTCATTAACTAAAGAGCTAAAATTCGATGTAAATAAAGAAACCACACTTTTACAAAAAATCCTTTAAGTGAAAAATAAAAAAAAGAATGAATTTTTTACTATTCCTTTATTTAAAAAAAAAAAAATGGATCCATCAATGTAGTCCCTCCTAACATTCCCAGCAGACCTAAATGGTCTGGTATCAATTGGGGGAAACCTCATGCTTTTTTTTCCTCTTATGCAGAAAAAAAAAGAAAAAAGTATTTTTTTTTTTAGTCTAATGTCACTTTGCTGCAATGAATATTTGCCCAGGACAAAAATGTGTAAATACTACCGATAACTAATTTCATCCGAATCCCAAAACGAATTAACTTTCGGACCCGAATCCCGAAAAACGTAATAACGGAAAATCCGAATTAAAACGAAACTAACTTTATAGTGGGGCGACAGGGACCAGACCAGAATCGTAGAGCCCTGGACATTGTGTCCTTGTTGCGTTCTGGCTGGGAAGGGAGACTACTCTCTGTGGACCTTCAAAAGGCATTCGATTCAGTGACATGGGAGTATTTGTTTCAGGTGTTGGAGAGGTGGGGGTTTGGGCCCTGCTTTTTGCAGATCCTCTATAACCTTTATTCTAATCCCCGGGCGATGGTTCGGATCCATGGCTACCTATCAGACCCAATTGATGTTTTCAGAGGTATGAGACAGGGCTGCCCGCTCTCGCCCATTTTATTTGCTATTGCAATTGCATCACTAGCAGTTGCTATCAGAGCAAATCCCGATATCAAGGGGGTTACCTGTGGTGACCAGGAACACAAATGTGCGCTTTTCGCAGATGATATGTTGTTATTTTTTACATCTCCGGTGACCTCCTTGCCTAATGTTTTGAAAACTATGACCACTTTTGTTGATATCTCCGGATTAATTAATCCAAGTCCATCGCTCTAAATATTAATCTTCCACTGGATCTATGGGCGGGTTTGACTTCTCACTTTTCCTTTACCTGGGACACTGAGTCTTTGCCTTATCTGGGGATCAATTTAACATCCAACTTCTCTAACTTATACAAGTCTAATTATCCTCCTCTCTTCCGACGATTGCTGAGTGATTCCAAAAAGTGGTCCTCTTACAATTTGTCCTGGCTGGGCAGGATAAATACAGTCAAAATGACTATCCTCCCACGACTGCTCTACCTTTTTCGCGCCCTGCCTATCGCGGTTCATAGGGTGAACCTACTGAGGTTTCAATCTGCAATCGTCAAGTACATTTGGGGGTAAAAGAGGCCTCGATTTGCTAAACCTGTACTATATCGCTCTAAAAGGGTCGGGTGGTCTGGGGGTTCCCAATTTTTGGCTATACTATCAGGCAACATGTCTTACTCAGCTCTCCACTGTCTATTCACGCCGGGAGGTTCCTGACTGGATAGTGATGGAATCGCATTCGGCTTCTAGAGTGTCAGTGGATTTGCTGATGTGGATGGCCCCAAATGTAGGCCTGTGGTGTTAGCTCCGACATTATCGCACTCCTTGGCTATGTGGGACAGGTTAAGGAGGAATTATCCTTTGGCGTCCCCTCATATGCCACTAGCTTCCCTCTTTGGTAATCCACGTTTTCCTCCTGGACTACATTCGCAGAGTTTTAAATGGTGGATTAATAAAGGCCTTTACCGTATAGGAAATTATTTTAAGGATGGCAAACTGCTGACACGATTGTATTGTGCTGACAGGTTGCGTCTGCCCTCGACGGAGCTGTTCTGCTTTGGTCAAATCCGACACTTTTTGTCATCCTTTGGCCCGGAGCGGGACACCTTCCCTGGCACTTACCCCTTACGAGAGATGGTGTTGGGACTTCACTAACCCGCAGGGTGGAATTTCTCTAATCTACTCACTTCTTTCAGATCACCCTACCAAATTGCCATACATGCTAGCTTGGGAACGTGATTTGTCACTAACTCTTCCCCTAGAATCTTGGCATTGCTGTTGCTCAAGGATTTCCCGGGGTCTACTTAATATTTCCTTGATTGAGGCAAACCTTAAAGTTTTCATGCTATGGTATATTGTCCCTTCCAGGCTGGCCACCATTTTTCCTGCTACATCCCCTCTATGCTTTTGAGGCTGCTCAGAGTTGGGCACTATGATTCATACTTGGTGGCTCTGTCCTCGTCTGCCTCCTTTCTGGAACATAATTTTTGCATTGCTTTATCGGGTTACAGGAGTGCAGGTTCCTAGGGATCGACGATATACACTTCTTAATCACCCTATCACATCTGTATCCAAAGCCTTTGATAAACTAATTGCTTTTATTTTTATTGCAGCCAAGATATCTATTGCCAAGGCCTGGAAGACAGACAAGGTATCCTTCGCATATTTCAAAAGTAAAATGTCTTGGATAATGACTCATGAAAAACTGGCAAGCAAACTACAAGATAGACACAAGCAGTTTGGGGATATGTGGGACCCATGATTGGCTTATATAAACATATAAATGATTTGCTGGTATATCTATATCTGTAATATATCTTGTTTTATATCCAACTTGCTTTGATAATAACTGGGAGGGGGTAACAACACCCTAGGAACCTTCTTTTCCCCTCATTCTTTCTTTCTTTTTTTCTTCCCCTTACCATTTACTTTTTTATTTTTCTCTCTCTCTCCTTTTTTTGTGCTTCTTCTCCTCCGTTTGTTTTGTTTTATTGTTCGGCCCATGATGGCTCAGTGTCCTTGATGAGCGGACACTCCTTAGGGAGTGGGATACGGCGCCAAGATACTTCTATAACTATAGTTTTAACTTGGTTAGAACCAACCTTGGTTGGTCCAATGTCTAAAGATTTCTTGGACTGTACTCAAGACTGATGTTATTAGGTAAGATGATGGCAGCTATAATAGATTCTTATTGTCTAGGGCTGATTGAATGTCTTTGTCTGTACCTTTTATGTTATGTATGTTATTGTACCTGAGTTATGTGGACTCAGTATCTTTACAAAATGAAAAACTTAATAAAATACTTTGAAAGTAAAATGAAACAATTTTTTTGCCATTGACATAGACTAAACATGTCTAGTGACAACGGTGGAAACCTGCTGCCACCCTTTGTCAAGAAAAGTTCAAACATGTGCAATGCTTTTTACACATCCTCAGTCTGGTGGTACACTGGTTCCCAGTTAGGTACCCTGGTTTGCATGATGTCCTGTGGCAGGCCAGAAGACTGTGCATCTACTTCAGGTTGTCACACCCAGCAACCTGAACCTGGTTGAACTTCAGTGGCATTTCGCTTGACAGTAGCTGCATTTGAATATGAATATTGTTACTTGTACAAGACACGTACACACTCTGTGGATCTGGGTTTATTTGCAGCACCCCAGTGGCTCTTGATTCAGCATACATATACTGTCTAGTTACCATTTGAGCAGGCAATCCGAAAGGTGAGCCAGGGGGAGGTGGGAATCAGCGACACAAACCGGTTGGAGCACACACTGTGTGTAATAGACCAGGCAGACACAGCAGAAGGAGGAAGAGGATGACTTCCTGGTATCTCATGCCTGCGTGATCCTTTCACAACAGACTCTATACCTGTGAGGCATGAGAAGGCAGAGGGGAGTACAAGGAGGAAGGATGTGGTGCCATTGGTGAGAAAGAAGAGCAAATGGGGTGGGATTACATCAGTGGCAGACCTAGGCAGAGCTCCTTTTGCGCCAAGGTTGTGCTCCGTGTGGCGGAGGATCGGTACATACCAGTGATATGCACTGATCCTCTGTGCAGAGCTGTGCTGCCCCACTTCTCCCCCAGCACCTGCGCCCGAGGAGAGAGCCTCAGTCACCTCGCCTTCGCTACGGCCCTGGACCTAAGGAACAGAGGACCCTGGTGCAATAATTTTATCTTGCCTCCCCCTTCCTGCTCCCAAGTGGGGGGGGGGGGAAGCGGATCTCACTTGCCCCCCAACCCCTCTGGCGGTCTCTGCACCAGAGCAGCTTACACTCTAATGTCCCCCCACAGTCACACAGTATTATACCACAGTGCTGTACAAAGAACACTGAGCCAGTCACATTAGTTTCTCAACAGAGGAGCCTAAAGCAGAATGGCACCGGTTGTAGGGGGACTACAAATAGCAGCAATACATTATATAGCAATGAAGAACAGTATATGAACTCACTGGGCTCTGTACTTAGGAACGCACTGTGCTTTGGAATCCACAGACCCCGCAGAGCCTACCTGAGGGTGACCCTGCAGAGCACACCATAGATCCTGCACAGCCCACCTGAGACTCTCTGTGGTGGGCTCTGCAGGGTCTCAGGTGGGCTGGTCTGGGTCCGTTTCCCTGCACACGCAGCTCCTCTTACCTGCTGCTGGGCCCTGGCCTCTTCTGCCACCGGACCAGTGATGCTGGGCCCCAGCCTCCTCCACCTCTGGGTCAGTGATGCTGGGCCCCAGCCTCCTCCACGTCCAGACTGGCGATGCTAGGTCCCAGCCTCTTCCACCAGCAGACCATCTCCATCGGCCGACCATCGGCAGACTTATCTCCGCTGCTGGGCCCGACCCCCATCTTCTCTACTGCTGGCCCCGGCTTCCATCTGCTCTGCTGGTGGGCCCCAGACTCCTGACCAGGGCCTCCCTCTGACCTGGGCATGGCAGTAGTTATGCTACTGCCCGGAGGCAATTGCTCCCTGGCCCAGGAGGCAATTGCGGCAGGCCCCCAGCCTTGGACCCTGGGGTGGCCGCACCAACTGCACTGCCAGTAGTTCCACCCCTGGATTTGATGATTGAGGACACCATTGTCCTCCGCAACCCCAAGGACTAGGGTTCCTCTGCTGCCAGAAATTTGTGGTAAACAGGCAGCAGAGCCTGTGCAAGGACCCCAGGATTTGGACCTTAAGCAGTGGACCCATAACTGGCTGTCAATAACATTCCAATTGTGGCCTATTACTACTGCATGGAAAAACAAATTTCACAGCAAAAAACTACCTAAAAAGATTTTTTTACTATATTACACATGCAAATAATGCAATGTCAGGATATGATGTTGCTGACACTATAAGTGAAAATCCAAACACATACAGCTTAAAGGCATCTCTCAAGCATGCATTAGAAAGGCATGGTATTTTTCCTAAAAGTCTCATTAAACAAAAGGTCCTATACCCTTTTGGGGTCATGCTCCTTTGTCTAAGATCCTTTGCTCCTTTATCTGGGATTTAAGAGAAAATATCGATAATATTCACAATTATTAATTGCTTTTTAGTCTAGTTCAGGACCAGCCATGGATTTGTCCAGGTTGGGGTGCTGTCCAACCCGCCCCCCAGGCAGAGGCTGGAGTGAGAGAAGAGTTTCACTAGGAATTAGGATGAAGATGGAGGAGGCCTGTGCTGTTGTCAGAGGAGGAGAACCAGGGAAGATGATGGCTACTGGAGGTGCCTGGAACCTAGAGGCCCTCAGGAGCAAGTCTGGTGTCTCTCCTGCTGAGGATTTGTTGTAATTCCCTGCTACTGATGAGCTACTCAATTCCCTGATTGAGTAGCTAATATGCTACTCAAATGACTATTCGCTGTATCACAAATGGATCTACACTGAGATGCTAAAAAGGTCTGGTGAGTCTGGAGTCTATGTCTGTACTACCTCGGATGTCTAGGACTCCTATACCCTTTCTCCCCAATGTGAAGATGTTAATAAATGTTTTTCAGCACTGTACTACTGGAGTCGATATCAGCTTTGTGGGCACTAGAAGAGGGTGGTTAAATGCTATTGGGGCATCTGAAGAACAAAGCCCCTAGACAACTAGCGATGACCCAGGTTATTCTGGCGGCTCCTTCGGGGGTGAGTGCTACACTTAATATTCACAGTTTAAAAATATATCTGTAACTTAATAAATAATTTTCTCAGGGGCCTTTTAATAAAAAAGTGACAAAGTTCACTTTGCTCCTTTTAATTTCTCTTGCACTAGTGTGAAAAGAAAGCTGCAGAAAAGGTCTTTGAAATCTACAGTAGAAATGTTAATGTTTTTGTGATTGTTTTTAACATTTGGGGAAAAACCAGTGCAAAAAATGTATCTTATTTTCTTCAAAGGTTCTTCACCCAAGTATTTTGTATATAGTAGGGAAAAGTTAGATGCACTGTTTTTTGCTTGCAGTTTGGGGGTAGCCCCACTGCAAGGGTTAAGATTTCTTCTGCCCGTAGTCCATCTTTAACAAAGAGTATAAATGGAGAAATGGTAAAAGAGAATAGAAAGACAGAAAGAGAGAGAGAATAGAGCAAATAAGTGGAGAAAATATATAGAAAAAATATTTCATGCAATTCATTCAGTCAGGAGATCTCATACTTTAATCTCCAGGACACTGTGTTAGTTATTAAAAAATAACTTCACGACAGTAGGATCTAGTATTATTTAATTTGTAACACAAATTCAGATACTATGAAACTTACTGCATACTACTTTATCCAATCTCTTGCTTGTTCATGCACTCTTTTCCCGGTGACAGGCTTTCGTTAAAATAAACACTTGCTATTTAAAACTACACTAAACTGACAAAACATTTATCTTTTCAATTAAATTTTAAATTTAAATTTACAAAATATTGAAATGTGAAATGATATACTGCAAAATTCTTATGACAAGTTGACATCAAGATATTAATATGTATGTGGCTGCAGATAGCAGAGCAACACCCTCAGGTAAATAATTGTTTTAATTCATATTTTATGCATATAAGATACCAGGTGTTCCTGGAATTTTTTTCTTCATCGATATTTGTAAAAATCCTTTGGTGCATGTAGATATATAATGTATGTGTTTTTGTAACAAAAAACAAAAAAAATATATTTTGATTGTACACCTAATAAATATAAAATAGGCTTAGGCCAGCAAGGTGAGCTTTAGGTTTCTTTTCACTTGTTCTCCACTTATGCCAAAACAATGCATGTTGTTTGAAGGGCACAAAAGCTTAAAACACAATGCGCACACACACACTCACACTAATTAATTATTATATACTTAATTGATTAATCAATCAAACAATCAGAGCATTGGTTTGTACTCCTCTGTTCTCTTCCTTTTCCCACTTTCATTAAGAGAGAGAGCATGGATGAGCCTGGTTGCACTAATTAATTGTGAGTCCTGATTTACATGTATTGTTCCTCTCATCTCTAAAACAATACAATTATGATGCATGGAGCCTTTAACAATTTACAAACAGTTTGTATTTCCCATCCTTGAAATTTTAGGAGCATAGTAGCTGCATATAATAATTACAGTTGGCGTGCAAACAGCAGCAATATGTGAAAGAGTTCTAGGAAATGTTTGTGTTTTGTGTTTGTTTCTTTGTGACTTTTGTCTCCACATTCCAGCCTGTTGGCACCACTGCAAAACTGTGGTGCTACTGGCCAGTTTTTACCCACCCATACCTGAGTGCTCTAACATTTTAGAAAGATAGCTGCCTATAGCCTGTGTCTCTACATTTAGCCCTGTTGACGTTGCTGTCAAACTGTGACTGTGTGTGCGTATGCCGATTTTTACTTACAAATAAGGGGTGTAGCTATTTTTTTAAGAAGGCATCTACTTGTGGCTTCCAGCTCTACATTGAGACCTGTTGGTATTTTGTGCAAATATGCCTGTCAATGGTCAAATGAAAAGTGCATTAGGCATTAGATTTATTGCCCTGTGGTAGACATGTGCACCAGCAAAAAAATTGTTTAGTTTTGTTTAGTTTTGATTCGGATTTTGCGTTATTTCGTTTTTCGGAATTCGGGTCCAAAAGTCAATTAGTTTCGGAATTCAGACGAAATTAATTAGCGGAAATCCGTACAAAATTTTGTTTCTAATTAGTTTTGTTTTCGTTTCCTTTGTTCGTTGCAGCAAATAGAATAGACGTTTTTTTGTTCTCAAATGTCACTTTGCTGCAATGAAATTTCGTCCAAAAAACAAAAGTTTGTCCAAAAAAAAAAAACAATCGGAAATTCGGAATCGGAAATTCGGATTTGTTTGCATTCGTTATACCTGTAATTGGGAATTCGTATACATCCGAATCCACGAATTTCGAAAATTTCGTCCGAATTTCGATTCGTAACGAAACGAATCGCACATGTCTACCCTGTGGCCCTCTCATAAATTGGCCACAAGATTGTGCTAAGAGAAAATATCTCTATTTACAGTGATCTTAGACTACCTTTTTAAAAAAAAAGTTCCCAGCAAACGTCAGCCCAAGAAGTAAGGAACACGTGCATTCTGGGAAGTCAGACTCCATCTTGGAACCGAGGACAGGAGGATCTAGTGCCATCCTGAGCACGTTTGGAGAAAACACCCAAATTCACCTTATGACAGCATCGCTGGTAGGGATGGACTTGATTCTTAGAATATTTGTCAGCTATCACTCTATTTACATGTTCATATATTGATTGTATGTTTTCATGTTCTTTTCAACCAGTTTCACCCATCCTGTTTTGTTAATAAAGCTTCAAGATTTCCAGTCTGGCTTACTGCAGAATAGGAGGGTTTAGTTGCATGTCAAGCTATACACAGGTCACAGGGTAACGTATAGCAAAAAACAGAAAAAAAGAACATTATTTTATTTGTACATAAAAAATAAACATAATTATTTCTGATAATTCTGCCAGTCAAAGCAAGCCTTGTACAGATTTATGGTATCTTTCAAGCCTATAATTTAAAGGATTTGTGAATTTTCCATGACACCTTCAAAGCCATATGAGCAGCCCCCTCCCTCCCAGCCAGGGACCTGCGGTCAGGGGAGGCAGGTGAAGCATAGCCTCACCTAGTATTATGAAGAAAAAAAGGTGTCAGCTTCAAGTCTGAAGCTGACAGCTTTTTCTCCATTCAGAGCGGAAGTTACAGGTTACACAGCAGGGAAAGCCTCCCTGCTGTGTAACCTGTCATGGATGGAGCGCTGCCTGGTAAATACTGCATCCGGCTTATGACAGTTAGGTTACACAGAAGCGGGCTTCGCCACTGCTTGTGTAACCTAACTTGGTGAGGCAAGAGCTGTCACAGCCTCTACTATGTGTTAGAGGCGTGAGCTCTGTGGATGGCTTGGACCAATGGCAAAGCACCATTGGTCCAAGCTGTCCAATCAAAAAAAAACAGTGAGGGCATTAATCCCGATTCCTCACCAGTGACGAGCAAGTGAGGGACAGGGAGGCTCCTCCCTGTCTCCTCCCTTCCTCCTCCTCACACAGCTTGGTTACCGAGCTGGGGGAGGGACTTCTGCTGGATGGGGCAGAGCTTCGGCAGGACAGGGGTGGAGCTGCGGCGGGCTGGGGGATGCCTCACCCAGCACAGAAGGCACGGCACATCACTGCTCCCAACTGTGGGGAAATTCCCATACTATTTGGTTTTCAATAGATTGTCTAGCAGCCCTCTATAGGGTCTCAGACCCCAAGATACAGGCCACCTTCTGAATTCTTCAGCCCAAGCTCAGGCCCCTTTTTCAGTAAAGACCATACAACATACTACAATTTCAAAAAGCTTTACAGCACAACTAGTAACTGTAAATTAGTAAGCTAATGTACTGTTACTGTCACCTATATGCCTTTGCAGTAACTTGTATACATCCACTTTCTGCTTATATGCCTTTTGTGTAATTAAAATTAGACTTGTGCGCCGTCAACAGATTTGTTCTGTTTCGTTTCGGAATATACGTTATTTCGTATTTCGTAATTCGTAACTGAACTCAATTTGGATTCGGATTCGTCCGAAATATGAATTTTCGTTAGTGGCGGTTATATTTTCGTAACTTTACGAACATTCGTTATGATGAAGTTAAAAAGCAAAATACCTTTGTTAATATTGGAGTGGTAGTTGTTTTTTTAATCCGAAATGCGAATTCCGTTAACGTACCTGTGTATTGTAATGCAACCCTCAGCAGCAGCGGATCCGTATCTCGGATTAAAAAAAAAATCTTGTCATGTTGTTCAACCTCATTTACATTTTACAGGGGTAATATTAGTTCCTGTTTCAAAGAAATTCGGATCCGAAATTCGTTAACGGAATTTCGTATTTCGGATATAATTCGGAAACTGCCATTCGGATTTCGGATGCTCCGAAATTCGGAATTTCAGGAAAATTTGTACGAATTTCGATTTGTAACAAAACGAATCGCACATGTCTAATTAAAATACTGTGTGGATTTGATTGCTGCCAGACCCATAGATCAGAATACTTCCAGATTGGAAAGTAATCATCAGCTAAGTATCAAAGTGCTTAAACATATTTTAAAATCTTAGTCCTAGCCTTTTTATAAAAAGTCCTAGTATTTTTATAAAATGTGTTCAGCCACTGTGGAGCAACAGATGGCATAGGGATTACCATGCAAGCTTTGATTGTATTAATAGAATTTTAATACCGAACACAAAATAGCCACAAGACTTCTGAAGAGGTTTATGTGAATAACATAGATTATAGATTCCCAGTGACAATTACGAATTCGCAATTGTTCAGCCAGGTAGCCATAGGTTTTTTTAACTAAAATGCTAATACAATAATGCCAGAAAATAGATGAGTACTGACTGCATAATGTAGAATGTAACCTTAAATCGTCATTGCATTGATTCTGTCAAGCTACACAGATAAAGCCTAACTGTACAATGTACAAATGTATACATATATTCACTAACAAAATTGCTAAATGTTAAAATTAATTTAAAACGTTAAAATAAATAATTACTTTGTCTCCTTTTTTATATTGGATTCTTTTTATTCCCTGCACAACACTGTATTTAAAAAAAAATAAGGATGATGGAGGAAGAATGGGCCTCAGTATACTGCTGACATTTTTTAAATATTTTATACAATGTGGGTTCTTGATAATGAACATCTCTTGTGTTGCTTTAAAATACCAGAAAAATGTTTGTAGTCCCCACAGTGACATAATATGAGGCTAGAAAAGAGTGTGAAGCCTGCCGGAGGTTCGGCTCAGCCGATCCAGATATTGGATCGGCTGAGTCGAACTCCTTCTGCACTTCAGGTCAGCCGAACATGCTAAGCATGTTCGGCTGATCCGAAGCCACACGAAGCAAGCCGATGTACGGCTGATTTCAGCCGATGTACGGCTGAAATCAGCCGTACCAGCCTGCAGTGAATAGCCGAACAGTGTTCGGCTCACTTCACTTCTGATCGGTCATTCACTCGGCTGCCCTCGGCAGCTTTGTGAATAGACCCCTGTGTGTCTTGTGTGCACACTGGCATGAGGCTGCAGCTGTATCATGTTTAGGAGTGTCAGTCAGATAATTCTGTAGTGAATACTGGTGCGGTGCTCACTAGTGCAGATGAAATCCAACTCTAGGCTAAATTTGTTAAATGTTTTTTAGAGAGCACGGAAGGAAGTATTTATTTCTCTCTGTATTATAATTTGGGAGAAAATTTCCCTGCTCTTTGTAAATTCATCAGATGTCATGAAAAAAGGAAATGAGTGACAATTTTCCAAAAGGGACATGTGCAGCAATAAAAACACAGTTTCAGTAGTGTGAGGAACGTTTGGAACCTCTGTCAAAATTGTATTATTGTGTCCTCATGAGGGAGATTTCTCCTTATTTCCTGTTTAGATCAGCTAGAACAAAAGGAACAGAGAAATCTCCTCTACGGGGCACAAATATAATTTAATGTATAACATATGGTATTAATGGTTACTGTCTTGTAATGGTATATTTATCATACCAGGAAGAAACAAATGCCAATATCTATTATTTTCCTTTTTAAATCACAATATGTATGCACTCATTGCCAATTATAGTATATAAATAAATACAGTATAAATAAGTTTATACAGTATAAATAAACTAAAATACAAGAGTAACATCTATCAGAAAACTTGGGACCATTAAAAGCCAATGATGTGTATAAAGTGAATAAAAGTCCATGGCAGTTCACACTCTCAGAAATCCATTGTGTCAGTCATTACCAAACAGAAACTAAAAACAAGCTCAGTCATGAAGGGGTTAAAGCTTTGCAAACAAACATTTAAACAACAGTATCATGTAACACCCAATCAGATTTCTGATTATTGTTGTGACACTGAAAAAATGTTGATGGGCTGGTATGGCAACCCATCACCTTGTCTTACTGTTTATATAACACATTTTGGTCTATGTGGAGTCTGATTACATATTTTGGTTAGTGTCAGGTCTAATTTCAGTTGTTAGGAGTAAAAAGATAAGGCAAGCCAGTCATTGTAAACAAAGGGTGATACAGCACACAATAAATCCACAGGTATATGGCTCAGCCTTCTTTACTAACATTACTTTAAACAATTACTTTGGCACTAAAAAGCTAGTAGGGGACACTTATGACATCTTCTTCACAGGAATGCAATTCTTTTTGCTACAGTGTACAAAAGTAATGTAGATTTTATCTAAGAAAAGTAATAAAGTCTCTTTTTCTGCGCTGTTCTAGATGAATTAAACAGTAGGAAATTGGTCCAACAAAATCCACCTGAACGTCCATCATGGCATAAAATAGAAGCATTTTGAAAGCAAGCCACTGCAGGATAAACCACAGGAGGTACATTTAGCAATCCAAGAGAAAAGGTGAGTGTTGGGAGAAAAGCACAGCCAAGAAACATGACCAAGAAGCCATTTATTGTCACAGAATCAATAGCTCAGGAAACATTCCACTTAGCTTCTAAGATGTACAAAAACTCTGACCTGCCTCCAGGGGCTAATGTGGTTCCCTGTTGTTAGGAAGAAGAACCCTTAAAAAGTAATCGCTCTTCTCTAATGGATCAGAGTCAGTTTATCAAAATGACACATACAAGAGACATGCTTTCTTTTCTTTGCATATCAAGTCCAAGAGCAGGATTTTGGGCAACAGACTTTTTATCGGTACTGTTTATCATCATTTCTTAGATATAGGTATATAATGTACATTACTAAGTACATTTATTACATAATGCATTTTCTGAAGGAATCATTTTCAGTCTAGCCTGCAATTAATTAATTTGATTAATTAATTATTTTGAGTCAGGCAAAGACTAATTTGCACTTCGATCCTGTGCCCACCCCCACAGCAGGACATGGGGCCAAACCTAAGGTAATCACAGTGCAGGCCCTGTCCAGGAGCTTTTATGTGTAGAGAAGTTAACATGTGATATATACGTTTGTACAGTGTACATATGAAAGGAGAACTAAACCCACAAAGTCATGATATCTTTCCTGTACACAAAAGAGCCAGTAAAACATTTCAAATGCTTACATGATGGAAGGACTAGGCTCCCTCCATGCACCCAATTCTGGATCTGGGCCAGAGTAAGCCAGTTTGTGCCCTGGCCTCACAAATATCCCGTTCCCAGCTTTTACTAGATGCAGAAGAATCACGAAGGATATGAAAGCTGGCACATAATGGGACCTTGATCCCAAGAAAGTGATCGAAGGATCTTAATGCCCCTTTAGGGCAGCAAGAGAGCATATGGAAGATATCCTGATGGGGTTGTGTCTGCTTTAACTAGTTCAGATAACTAGATAAAATTGAGGAGTGGGCTGCAGCATGGCAACTAAGATTCAGTATCGAAAAATAGAACATTATACACTTGGGAACTAAAAACATGTATGCAAAATACTCTTTAGGAAATGGTCCGCTGGGGAAGTAGCACATATGGTGAGCGCTTTGAGGATGCAGTCCACTCTCAATATCTTCTTTTTAAGAGCCTGCTAGCCCACTTCTATTTAAATTAAAATTTCACACATTCACATCAGATATCCTTGTATGGGCTGTTCAGTACATCCTGCTTGTAAAACAATACAGGTTTAGCCTACTGGCTTCCACTTTCAGCATTAATAATTTTGACACAACTGTACTCTCAGTAGTGCTGTCCCACACTTGTACTGGTGGCCCCTCAGGCTCTCAGCTCTTCCAGCCTCACCAGTTCCCCCAGCCTCCCTGGCTTGCAGCACACACACACACCACCTGATTCCACTTTTACTTCTAGGGGAGGCCTCCTGAGTTCTAAACACTGTCTGTTCCTATTTCCCAGCAGGAGCTCACCTTACTCCTCTCTGACTTCTGGGGGAGTCTTCCTGACTCCTGAACACTATCTGTTACTATTTCCCAGCAAAGGCTAAATCGCCTAGTCAGCACCCTTTCCTTAAGGGTTGTGCACACCTGTATCTAAACCCTGGACCCAGGTCTGTAGCTTTCTTCCCTCCCAAATCACGTTGAAACCTCCCGGTTCCAGGATCCCAAGCCGAATCCAGAAAAAAACCTTGCTTCTTGACACCTCTCGGCCCTTCTGGTTGCGAGTCCTCAATTCTACTGTGGGATTGCCACACAATACCACTAATATATATATATATATATATACATACACATACACATACATACACACACACACTACCGGTCAAAAGTTTTAGAACACACTCCAGTTTTTATTGAAATTTAAGCAGTTCCAGTCCAGTGAATAACCTAAAATGGTACAAAGGTAAGCGGTAAACCTCCGGAGATGGAAAAAAAAGATACTTAGGTTAACAAAAGCTGAAAAATAATGTACATTTCAGAGTTATACAAGAAGGCCTTTTTCGGGGAAGAAGAAATGGGTTAACAACTCACAGTTGTTCTGCAGCAAGTAAAGTAAATTAATCCTTGAAAGTTTATGCTAACAATTCCTACAGGTGTCCCAACTATCGTGGATTACTCACAAGCCCTCTGTCTGTATAAACACAGTGTTGGAACAGACTATTACTACACTCTCTTAAGCAATATTTGGACAGTATTGTACCACAGGAAGTAGTAAATTGCTCTCAAAATGGCAAGATCTTTAAAACACACCCAGATTCACTCACTTCAGTAAACCATGCCCACAGTCTGTTTTGTGTTATCATTACAGTGGCTAGACTTAGACATATATCTGCCATGAGTTAGGTAAGTCACAGACTGATCTAATGGGCAGTGCATTTCAATCACCAGTCTGTAGATATTCAAATGCAGTATTTTTCCAAACTTTGCTTTGCTGTGCCCCACCACCCCAATCTTTGAAGTATTGGAATATGGCTCTTTCATTGGAGTACACATGTCTTGAAGAATATCATATTCAGCAAAAACGCAACATTCATTTGCATGGCAATTCTGTAAATATGTGTAAATATATTGAAGTAAAATGTCTGCACATAGTAAGGTATTCAGTTATCAATACATTAATGGGTTTGGAATTAGTGTTTTTGAACTGCAAATGTGCATGACTACTCTCATACCAGTCCTAAGCCCATGTGCATCTGCACTAATTTACCAAAAATAGAGTCTGTCATCAAAGGTATGTACAGACTCAACTGCCATGGCAGAAACCATTCAGCTTAACCCCATGTACAGTACATGTGTTCACATGCATTCAAGGACATTATTGTACTATTAATATTAATGAACACTTAGTTTAATATATTTCTTAGCATTTACAGAATATTTGCAGGAATTAAATATATTCAATAGATCAGTGGTTCTCAACCTGTGTAACTTCAGGACCCACATTTGTCCTTGATGATTAAGTCGCAACCCAAGTTGCACTACAATGGAATGCACGGCATTGCAATAGTGGGCGTTCAGGTGCAGGCGATCGGACTGTGGGCGGGAGGTGCATTTGGGGTGTCATTCAAATGAATGGTAACACAACACACCTTCCACAACAGAACGCGCAGTAGGTGCAATAGCGTGGTAAAGTGCACTAATCGTATGGGACTATGCGATTAACGCACTGTGCTTGTGCACCTTATGAGAACTGGAGTGGATCCTCAGCTTGGGGACTGCAGTGCCGTGACAGAGCTCCATTCAGATGTGCATTGTTTGTACAGCTTCCCTTGTGTGCCCTGTAGCGGTGACGGGATCCAGAGTGTGACTTCACTAGTCCAGCCACCTCTACAGGGCACATGTGGGAGCTCTGAGCAATGCACACATGGATGGAGCTCCCTTATGGCCATACTTCAAGCCCACCCCACCTCAAGCTGACATGCAGGCCTGGGCAGCAGATTTTGAATGGCTGCTCGGCGCGAGAACTGACCGCGCTGCACTAAGGCCTTGTTCACACCTGGGCGTTTTACCTAAGCGCGTCACACGCGCGTTTTGTTCCCGGCGTTTGGCGCGTTTTCATGAGTGTTTTTAGCGCGTTTTTGTATTTTAGAAACGCGCGACGCACACGCGTTTTGGAGCAGCGACAGAGGTATCCAATGAAGAAGAATTCCTGTTTTTCCACAAGTGTCCAATGAAAAAGACATCCTGAGACGCAGCATTTCCCCTTCCTGTTGCAAAAGACTGTGTGGTGTGTGGATTATGTTTTGCAGACAGCAGTTTGGATTGATTTGTGACATATGGAGCTGACCAGACGTAGGAGGACTGCAGCAGTCGTTGCAGCACTGCGTTTGATAGCATTGTGGAGAAGGAGAGACAGTAGGCAAAGATTCTGGATCCATCCGGTAATAGCCAACCGTGAGGAAAGAGGCCAATTTTGGGCTATGTTTCAGACCCTACGTGGACATGAGGAGAAATTCTTCACCTACACCCGCATGTCCATAAAGAGGTTAGTACATAAACAATAGTGCTTATTGTTGTTCTGTCCCGTTCATTGTAATGGAGTACATGTATATGTTGTTCATGTATTCATATTGCTAATTGCTAGCATTGACCACAAACCTTTATATTTACAGTTTTGATGAGTTACTGGGATTGCTGTCTGTCCAGTTGGAGCGTCAGGACACCTTCATGCGGGGCAGCATTCCTCCGGAACGATTGGTGATCACTTTGCGGTAAGTTCAATAAATGACTCCTTTGTAGAATTATAAACCAATTAAATGTTGGCGTAAAGAAGCAACTTTATGAACCAAATTATATGTACCAAATAAATTATAAACCAATTAAATGTTGGCATAAAGAAGGAACTACAAATAACAGATCAACGCTGATCTGTGACCCCTCCCAAACTCTATTTTTAATCTGTTTTCAAGTGTTATTGATATGGAATGGGATATTAATGCTCTGTGTGTTGTGCCTTTTGCTGTAGTGCCCTGTGCGTTGTGCTGTTGTAACCTAGGTGTCTTGTTGATATGTATGCTGACGTATGACATGTGTGAACCTCCTACATATAACACAACCTTTTTTAAACAAACAATAAACATATTTTAAAAATTCGTCTTAACCACATCAAAAACCACACAAACTCATTGTTAAATTGTCTTAAAATTTTACTATATATATAAGGCATATAATAATTCTCCTGCTCAACCGGGTAGGAGAAGAAACTTAACACGGTGCCTTTACACAGACTTTTGAAGGCCAAATTTATAGATTTTGGTAGTTTGGGAGCGCAAAGTTAGGCTCATCCACCTGCATGTCCTCCCTCATTCCACGTGTGGAATAGCCAGCCGGTTGTTGTGTGTTTGTGTGTTGTGCCAGGCTGGTGGAGGGATAAATATAGGGGGAATGTGGGCGTGGGTGCCATGTTTCTGGGTGTTGCTGATGCTGCATGGGTGTGTGTGTGTATGCCTGTGAGGCATGTGTGTGCATGTGGTGGACATGATGAGGTGGTTGTCGAATGGGTGGGGCAGGTATGGGTGCAGTGTCATGCGGTGTAGAGTCATCTGGTTGAATTTGGGAGTCAACAAATCTGATAAGTCCTTCCCGTGCTTCCGACTGTCTATGTAAAGGCACCATGTTCAGTTTCTCCTCCAAGCTGAATGGGCTCAGTGGTCCTGGGGAGAATGAAGGCTCGGTAGGTGACGTTCAAATTCCACCTTGTCCTCTTCAGGCCTCTCAGTAGGCTAATTCCCTGCACCAGCCGTATGAAGGCCTCAGAATCCAGCATGCCAAATGTACTTGCATCCTTCATCTTCTCTTCTGCAACAGCTCTCTGCAAGGTGGGAGTGGTCTGTAGCCATGTGCGGAACGCGCGTTCTGTGCGTGATTTCTGTGACAAAATACGCTCAAACACACATTTCACCCGTTCCCGTCGAAGTCTATGGGCGCGAACACGCTACAAAACGGCCCAATACGCCGCAAAGAAGCTCCTGGACCTTTTCAGGCGTGGGCCGTTTTGTAGCGCGGTAGGGACGGCCGGAAATACGGACAGGTGGGAACGAGACCATTGTAATGCTATTTATTTTTTGGACCGTTTTGTAGAGCGTTCGTCGAGCGTAGGACGCGCTACAAAACGGTCAGGTGTGAACAAGGCCTAAGGGGGAGGCAGAGGAGCCTCTCACCTAGAAAAGTGGAAGGCATGTGGCGACCCACTGAACATGGGGTCACGACCCACCAGTTGAGAACCAAGGCAATAGATTATGCATTACATTTATGTATACAATAGATTGTACATTAGATATATTGCTCCCTGACACCATTAGAAAATGTTTAAATGTCATGCAAGAGTTGCCAGCATTTTAATATATACAGTAAATAAATATGACACACCCCAAAGTTTTTATAGCAATTCCTTTTATAGTAGATATAGAGGCCAGTAAAAATTGTATTTCCAAAGTTTTTTTTATTTTTAATTATATCTTTAACTCATTACTTGTTTTAAAGCCTTAACTTTAGAAAAATCAATTTTAAAACAAATATATAAAGATTTTTGATGAAATGTAGTTTTAGATTCCAGGCTCCACTAGTCCTAGTGAGAAGCTTATGCATACTTAGGGGTCTATTCACTAAGCTGCCGTAGGCAGCCGAGTAAAAGACCGACCTGAAGTGAACGCTGTTCGGCTATTCACTTCCGGCTGTTATGGCTGATTTCAGCCGTATATCGGCTGAAATCAGCCGTACATCGGGTGGCTTCAGGTCGGCCGAACATGCTCAGGATGTTCGGCGGACCCGAAGTGCAGGAGGATTTCGACTCAGCCGATCCAACATCTGGATCGGCTAAGCCGAACCTCCGGCAGGCTACTCGCTGCTTTTCGGTCTATTCTTATAGATGCCGAACAGCAGTGAGTGAATAGCCGAATGCCGCTGAGCAGCGCTCTGGGAGTCTCCCGCTCCGATTTTTCTTATTTTTTCTTCATTCTGACACGGAGCTGTGTCAGAATAGAAAAAAAAAATTAAAGGCAAAATTAAAGCCAGCTTCGGCTTTCAGCACGGCTCAGCCGAGCCGAGGCATATGCATTCGGCTCGACTGCCAATGGCCGGCCGCTTGGCAAGCTTCGGCTTTCAGCACGGCTCAGCCGAGCCGAGGCATATGCCTTCGGCTCGACTGAGCCGCTCGGCTAAGTTCGGGAGCTGTACGGGCTATTGTGAATATCCTAGACGAAGCTACGGCTAGATCCTTCGGCTGCTTCGTGAATAGACCCCTTAGAAACTGATTTACAAAAGGATTTGACACTGTTCACACAATAAAATGTGTGAAATTTCATCTAAATTATATAATCAAATGAAAATAAAATCCCTGTTTACTTATTTTATCTGCACGTGATGGATAATTAAAGTGAATCTTCACATATTTTACCCTTTAGTAAATCAGCCTCCACTATCAGATAATGGGAATGGGTGCCAGACCTTTTTTTTTTTACCTTTTGTATGCGAAAGATCCCAATCAAGTGTACATGTAAGACTATTTTTGCAGCATGGTTGGGGATCAAGCAATTGATTTAACCATACGAACTTTAGAATTTAGTGAGTAAAGCCCAGTCTGTTGCAACTACCGTACATAAGGTACATGAGATAGCAGTAAATGTTCTATCTATATCTATAAGCAGTCTGCTATAATGTGTTTTTTCTCTTTGGTAAACCAACCCCAATGTTTCCTTTAGCAAAGAGAATGTGCACTACCGAATAAGGTTAAGCTGTAGTAACTTTATTCATCTAATCATAATCAAGCAAAAGTCCTTTTTTTTTATTTATTTTGTACATGACTGTAAATTGTCCTACCAAGGGAATCCCTTGTGCGTCCCTGTGCCTTTAAGGGAGGTCGGGCTTCCTCCTGACAAAACTGCACCCAATTCTAAATCTTCTGCCCCCATGTGCTCCAAGATGGAGACTCTCATAGTTTAGAGTTAGGACCGCACTATAAGAGGTGCCTTGGCGCGGCTGTGCGGCTTTTACATTTTC